CTCTCTTGCACCTCTCACCTTGTGTGGGTATATGTCATATAGACAGGAATAGGTATAAAAATTCACATCCATATATGTATGTATAGCTGTATGCACATTGTATACAAATACATACCAGAATACACCAAAATATGTAAATATATACATATATAAATATGTATATATATATATGTTTAGTTATGCCAGTAACAAATACCACTGTTAAACTATGATTTATAAAAACACACGTGATATTTGCCTATGTCAGTGTTACTTTTTGCTGTATCTGTAGCTTAAAACATGTAAACCCCTCCTAGTCCTACCACTCAAAGTATTTTCATAGTAGTCCTTTCAGGTGCATGTTTCTCCTGTTCGCTAGAATTCTGACAACAAGGAAAAAAAAAATGTGTGCAAAGGCTCCTGGCAGGTTGGTTTGAGTTTTTTTTTACAATTAGCAATCTGATGTGATTCTGACAGTAACTAAAATGTTCATTATGTATCAAGGACTTAGAAAGGCTCTTTAACTGGTACCCTGGATGGCTCAAAACTGTACTGGCGCCTTCCTGCCTGCTTCAGTACCTTAAACTAGGCATGAGTCATAAGCAATTGCCAGCCTAATCAAATTCTACCTGAATGTATGTTGCATAGAGTTGCAGAAGATGTGCTATATCTTGAAAAACGGAAATATATTTCAAAGTCTAATAAGATCACTATAAGTAGAGAAGCAGTGATTGCTAACACCAAATGAAATTAGACTGTGGATAGTACAGAGTGCGTTATTAGATAAGAGCCAAGTGATCACTAGTATAAATTATTGATCACTACTTTCAAATTCCACTGTATGACTGACTTCTTCTTCAGTGTTTTTAAGCATGGCTCAATTTTTATGTGACTAACAAAGTACATGCCAAGTTTCCTAAGAAGGGATCAGCCTGATTCATTCCTCTTTAATTTCAGTTTTGGCAACATATGCAGTGTTATTGAGCTCAGTGGCAAATAAGCAGGGCTAGTGAATAAATCTATAAGGATCAATAATATAAATGACAGACAACTATCTTAAATCCCAGTATGACTGTTTCAGTGCTGCAGGATCGAGCTGAGGGAGATGACTGCAGAAGAAGCAAATAGAGAAAGAACTATGTAATTTCAAAGAGCATCTCTAGTCTGGAGCTAAATCTTTTTTTAACTGCCATTGGTACCGAGAGAGCTATAACAGGAAGGTAAAGGGTGTGCATGTCTGTGTATAGGGAAGACAAGGATAAGAAGCAACAATATTAGCAACAATATGCTAAGAATTCCCCTTGTTATGAAGGGTAACATCTTGCCTATTTCTTGGAAGGCTTTCAGAGACAACCAAGAAAGGTACAGTTTACTCAGAGCAGAGAAAATCCCAAAGCACTCAATTCCCAGATATTTGGAAATATAGAATCCAAGCCCAGCAGCTGGTGGAAGTTTACTTGTGCCACAGAAATATGTACTGACAGCACTACGCAGATATGTAAAAGGAAGAGAAAAAACACAGACTGACTCAGAAAATATGGATCACTGGACTGATTTGCCTTCAGAGAATCACTGAAAATCTTTATCTTTCACTTACACTGCAATTTATACTTCATGCTGCCTACTCTTCTGAGCCAGGTGCACACACCAGGTTTTTGGCTCACTTAACACTTTACTTTCCTGTGGTTTTCAAGACTCTCCTCCTAACTATTTTATCATATTTCTGTAAAACATTTAAAAAAAAAAATCAAACCACATATTTCTTATTCAGGAACTTTACTGTCTCTCTAAGGTATATAGGATTGACCATTTTTGTATGAAATCCAAATAGGGAGTGGAAAGGAATGTGGGCAAAATGAGAGGAAAAGCCAGTTGCTCTGAACTGCTTTGTTGCAGTCGAAACCAAGAAGTTCAAGTACTGTGAAGAGAACAAAGGATGCCTTTTGGTTTTCATACAGAAGTGTACTCCTCAAAGATTTCAAGCTCAATATTCAAATAAAAAGCTTTCAGTAGAACTGCAATATGAGTTCACCTTCTGCTCAACATCATGTACTGTATGTTACATATATTGTTTAGGTCAAAGGTATAATTTTCATTTGATCCCTTTGTCTGAATGTTCATATCTGTTATATTGACTTGGGTTTTCTGGAGTGGAACAAAAATTGTCATTGAAACAAGAGTCACTGCACATCAACTGCACACATTTTTCACAATATTTTTTCCCAAACAAGTTTCTGGATCAATTGAAACCAGTTGGCTTGGGAATTTGCTATCAATTCAGATTTCATAGGAAAGAAATCAGTAAAGCTGTTGAAATTCATAGTACCAAAGTTAGTACTTTATAGTACTAAATACATAGTTCTAAAGAATATGACCTGTTAACTAACCAACATTTAAATAATCACTCCTAGGCTCAATATAAAATTTCCATGGCTTTAAACAGTAGTTTTAGCTAATACTTATTCATTAGTATGTCAGATTTGTTAGATATGGTTTATTGATTTCCAAATCAATGAAGGATGGTATTGAAAATGCAGCAGAGACTATTTATTAAAAGCTCTAATTTAAATTCACAGAAGTGTTAACCAAGATAGCGAAAGATAAAACCTCTAGTATATAAAACATTGAGATCGGTAAGGAAGGGCATAATTTTTGCAAGTACATTATGATTTTCTGCATCTGTTTGATTTTCCTACTATAGCAGCAAAAGTCAGAATAAGTCAAAAGGAACATATGAGAACATATCTTCAGATACAGCCAAGAATGCTTTTAAAACTCTTTAAATCCCGAGCAAAGAATTAAATCTGTAGAAATCTAATTGATCCCATGAAAAGGAAAAATAAGATCAAAAAAAGTATACTGAGAAGCATATACTTCAGAACAGTTCAACTCCACTCAAAAGGAAACAGATTTATTAGTTATTATTGTTCTCTAAGATTCATTTTGCAATGTTAGTTCTAGATCAGGGCAGAAAGCTTAACTCCATTTTAAAATGAATTTCCCATTGTATTCACCTTCTCAGAAATCCCATTTTCTGGCACAAATGCAGAAGCGTATTTCAAGTATACACGGAAATAGGATTTTCAATTCTCCCATGCAAATATTCACCCTGGAAGAGCATGCATGGTCATTCAGTCCAGAAATAGAAATTATATCATGTGAGTTTCTAACCAGCCACAATTGAGCAACACAATTATAAACTTTGGCTGTTTGCATATCAACTACTCACAGAAAATGGTTTATGATTAATGCCCTCAGGCAATAAATACTGAAAAATGGCAATGACAGTCCACTCAAAGAAGCAAAGAATACTAACCTGAATACAGATATTTCAAAGAACACACATACATAAACAAAGATGTAGTTTCATAAATGATTGACTTAAAAATATTTCTGTGAGGGAGACAATTTTTTCTATTTTAAATATGGTGGTTCCAAGTGCAAAATTAATTCTTTCCAGTTGTCCATAAAAGAAAATCAAGTCAACTTTGTCATTACTGACTGTTCATTTACTTATTGAACTGTACATGGGAATGTTTTGCAGTACTTAGCCACAGCATAATAAGCTATAGAGGAAAAACAGTGCATGAATTTCTGGACATACATAAGTTCTAAGTGCTATACTTCTTTAACATATCTTAACATCTTTTTGTCTATTCTTTTGCATTTGATCTTCACTTGAAAAGATTTTTTCTTCTTGCAGATATATTTACTTTACTGTAACACAATAATATTATGCAATTTTTCACGTGCTTATTTCAATTGTACAGTAAGAAGAAAAGTACAGTCTACATTGGCTGTAAGAATACTGCCTGTACTGCCTTTCAGGAAGTCAGGCTGTACAGACAGATTATCAGGTTATTTTCTGCAGCTTGACAGTAGCAGCTGCATTATGGGATCTTTTTTTTTTTTTATTCAGACATTTGGAATTGTTTGTTTCTGTTGGTAATGAGTCAATGTTCCTGACTCATAAGTACTTGAAATTTTCTTATTTCAGAAAAATGACAGAATAACATGAAAGATGCTGTCACTTACTCCATTTTTCTGCAACCTCTGTGACATATCTCAAGTAAAGTAAAGAAACAGAGCATTTATCTCCCCCTCCCCTCACTAGGAAGAGAGACTGCAGTGGATTCAAACAGTTTTAACTCTTTAGTATCTGACAGCAGAAGAGAAGCAAACAGCAAGCATTAGAAAAATAAGTATGGAAGGATGAGTCAGGCAGACAGGAAGAACAAATCAGAGATCCACCACCCTCTCCACGAATAAGTGAGAGAGACTAACCACCTCAGGGACTTGATAAAGATGTCTGGAGTTCTTGGGAAGGAAGGACTGCTGGACCCAGCCCCAAACATGGTGCTCTGCATGAACACAGCAGGACATCTCTCTGAACTGATTAAACTGGATTATTTTTATTAACAAATAAACTCCAGGAAAAAGCAGCCCCTCTTGCAGCACTAAGCTAAAAATACGTGTTTTAGTTCCTCTATCAGCCCTAGCTACAGGATCACAGAGCATCAGCTTAGCTGCTTATTACCACAAGTGCTCCTTCAATGAATATAAAACCAGCTTAACAAGCTTCAGATCAAGGGAACTGGGACTGCAATGGCTAATACCTACTGCCTCCTCTCAGGAGTGACACAATAGCAGTGATCTTTTGTGACTGACTGAGCATGAATGCTATTTTCCCCAATGTGGCTTAATCTACCCTGTCAGACTTACAGGGGGTAAACTAACATCAGTGGGAACCCTTCAGTTAAATCCCTGTGAACTATTCTTTAAATGTCCCCCCACACATGACCTTTTAGAAAGCCAATTGTGCTGCACAACAACACTCTCTGAGGCTCAGGCATCTCATTGCTGGAGGAGGAACACAGTTTCAAGGTATCAGGACAAGCTGGAGTAATACAGGTAATAAAGGAATCTCTTCTAAGTGAAATGAAATAGAAGTGAAATTAAGTGAAATGAAAATAGAAAAGTTCTAATGATAAATGGGACACATTAATAGTAAGACACCCTACCTTGTAACTGGTATCTTGGCTGACCTCCATACTCAACAAAATATTTCCAGAAGCATCGACTATGTCAAGATGTGGACAACTGAATGAGATAAAAAGTATTTGACAGTTCAGGACCAGGTCTAATCAATCAGACAGGCCTAGCAAACTTTCTAATGCTCTACCTTCATTTTTAGGATTACTGCCAGGAAGGCAAAGGAAGCTTTATGTGGCAAAAATAGATTATGATACTCGTGGGCTGAGGTATGCTGAAACCTGATTTACCATTCAATATCTTTAAGACTTTACCTTTGAATTTTAATGCCATGCCTACTTCTCTAATTAGAGTTACAGCAGTCATGACTGCTCCCAGCTCTGATCCTTCCTCGCCATTTACCCTGTAATATGAATTAATGGACTGAAGGATTAAGAAATCTTAATCCAGATTTTATTTCTCTACTTCACCTGTAGCATGTGTGGCCAACTAGCTGCCTGCAGTGACATATTGCATTATTTTCTCTCCACTGTTGTCTGCTCTATCCTCCAAAGGCAGTCCAAGCACCGCAAACCCAGAGGCAGATCTCTTCAAATTTCTGTTTGTCACTTCTTGGAGGATTTTTGCCCACCAATATTATTCTCCTATGATTCTTTTGCCGTGGACAAAACTTCAGGTTCAAGACACTGATAAGTCATTTCTTCTTCTTTCCAAATCCTGATTATTCCCACAACAGAATTATTACTTTTCTGTAAGTAGGTTTGTATTCAAGGATAATTAATACCTAATTTTAAAAAGGACTCACAGTAATAAGTATTTCTTTTCCCATTACAACTATTCTCCCCACACTCTAGTTCTTCCTGTCTCTTCACATAAAGCAATGAAATAACATTTTTTTAAAAAATCTGGTTTTTTCAAAAATCATTAAGACTAGACAACTTTTCCTTTTTTTCTGTACCTATTTGCAGTTTTCTTTTCAGCAACTTTTCCTGAAATACCCATCAATTTCTCCCATTCCAAGCTCTACACAATTTTTTTTTATTCTGTAAACATCCTGTGAATACAGACTGTAATTAGTAGATAGTATTCCCTAAGGGTGAATTTTATTAAGGACCATCCCAGGCCCTCTGGAGCTCTTCAGCTTTAAGTGAAGCTGAGAAATATGAGTGGAATGGAAACATGGAGAGCAAATTCCTTGAAGTGTCTCTAATCCCATTATATACAGGTTAGTACCAAGTAGAGTGCCATGGAAATTCTCTCACCTCTTTTATGGCACTGAGTCACTGGTATGGGGTTCATGAAGTTCAGCCTCTCTAGACAGCTTAGATGTGGAAGGGGTAAAAATATTTTCACTCGAAAATGTGAAACATAATAAGTTGAAATTTGGATATACACACACATACTATCATAAATAGAAAACATGCAAAAAGGAAAGGGATAAAACAGTCCTGTAGGAGACCATTCAGTAGCCTGAAGCTTTACCTCACCATGCAAAGTTTACTCATGTTATAAAGAAATGTTCCCTAATAAGCAGTTTGGAGTTTAACTTCATTCATTTTAGTATTTAGTACCGGTTTGTACTTTGTAGTTCACATATTATCTCTACACTGTACAGATCCAATATAATCTTCTTCAGAGTGACAGAGAAAAGAAGATACCTGTAAGTAGGGGGCTGAAAAGCTTCTCAGTGAAGAACATCTTGTAGTGCTCTTGTCTGACCACAACAGAGCCTAGAAGGACTGGGTATTGAAATATTGTCCATGTTTCCCTCCGTCAACTAAAAATCCATCTTTGAACCTTTGCACCCACCTGTGCAACACTTTTTTGCGCTGCCTTGCAATGCTTATTGCCTGGATGCCATCTGAGGAGCAGGGGTGAACAGCAGCTAAGTATTGAGGCAAAGCATTCAAAGGTACTCAAACTATTGCACTTTCTATTCATTAGTGATGCAAACATTTATTCTTTTAATTTCATTTCTGTGTGTGGATAGCCCAGTTTCTTCATACTTCCACAAAGGTGTAATTATTTCACTCATCTTCCAGTTTGAGAGCCACTGTTTCTTCTATTACCTCAAACATTTTCTGAGATCCCAAATAAGATATTTATTCAGTGCAAACCTCTGCCCTCCAGGCCAGCACAGGGTTTCTTAGATAAACAGCTCCATATATGCTAATGACAATGTCTGCCTGGAAGTAGGGTTATAAAACTCAGAACCTCTCCTAGCTGCTTTTTTTCCACCATAAAAGAAACAGGTCAAAACATGCCCCTTGGGCTTCGAGAACAGCTTATATTACCAAAGAAAAACTCCATGACAGCATAAAACCCCTGCATGTTATTGCAGAGGGAAAGCTAAGTTCTTTTAAAAGTGATGGATGCAAAGTAAAGTCTAAAAGAGCGCTGGCATTCGCAGATGCAGGTTGCTCTCAGGTGCAGCACAATGTAATTCTTCCTAATAGCTGACTAATTTATGCATGACAGAACAGTCAATCTGAGTCAATTTCAGGAACTTCTGCCAAGACCTGCTCCTGCTTTCCTCTCTCACACTATCAGATGAGATCTTTCACTGTGGCTGGACTCCTGTTGAATAAGAAGGATGCCACAGTGGTAGTTCAGACTCACAGAGGCAGTGGGTGGTGCTGAGAATACTTCTAGGATTCTGGAGCATCCAATTACACTTGTGCATTTTGGGGTCCTACTTCAATATTCTCACCTGTGTTAATTGTCACCATCAGGAAGGTAGGACAAAGCTGTAACACCAAAGATTTCCCCCTTATCTGAGGTAATCTTCTCTCCTTGTAAGACCTTTTTTAGTCCTGATAAACACAAAATGGTTGCTGAGGGAGTGATACAAGGATCTAAGTTCAGTGTCGTTCTAGAGATGGTCTATTAAAGTGACAGTTTGGATTGGAAGTCTATTTATTAGTACCTATGCATCAAGGTTGGTAACACCCTGTGCAGCATTTCTTTAAAACAAACAAAAGAATCTATTCCCTGCTACTACTCATGATTGAACAGTGGGGCAAAATAAATATCACATCTTGATTCTCAGCTGAAAAGTCGACCATCAGTTGAGAGAGCAGTCACTCCCACTGAAAAGATGCAGCAGCAAAGTATGTCAGGAAACAGGGAGAAAGGTGGGGGTGGGGCTGCTTATGAGACATGTGTGAACCAGACAAGCCTAGCCCACACACACAAAAACAACACACAAAAAAAACCCCACACACAAAAAATAATTGTTCAGGTTTTCTCCTAGAGACTTAAGACATTAAACTAATCAGGAAAAAATCTCATAAGATTTTTCTCAAAACAGATGGATATAACACTATTAAAAGAAACAAAAATATTAAAGAAGAGTAGGAATAGCTGGCTCACTATATGCCAGTTGGAATGTCTGGTTATATTATACCCCACTCTTAGTCTGTTATATACTTTTACAGTTCTTACTATGAAAATGAAACCACTGAGTTGTGTTGGTGTTTTTTTTTCTTTTCAGCATTTAAGAATGACATTACAACAGCATGAAAGAAATCACATTCGAAATACAAAGGCTCAGCAAATTCACTCAGTTTTCTGGCTGTTTGCAGACTGCTCTTTGAGAGGAATAGTTCCTCAGTAATCAGATCAGAAACTCCCACCTGATCAGCTTAGCATTTGTTCTTTCTTAGGAGTGCAAGCAGAGGGCCCAAGGAAACCCTCCTGGCAAGATGCCCTGGAGAGATGCTACTGCTTAGCACCGAAATTTTAAAAGTAGTTTAGGAGAGAGGAAAAGAATCAGATAGAAACACTATCACAGACTAACTGGAAATTAATGTAAGCAAAGTCTTTCCATTGCACTCATTTAGTCCTCAAAGACAACTAATTGAAGGACAAAAGAAGAGTTTATGTGCTCAAACATTTCTCTTTTTTCAATGGTATGACTTGCTGTCACAGAAAAAAGTGCCTCTTTCCACAAACCTGGTTGATGAACAGTCTGCTTCAACTGAATCAGCAAAAAGGAAGAAGGTAAAAGGAAGGAAAAAGAAAATTGAACCAAACCACAGCAACCATACTGCAAAGGTCTTTGTTAGTTTAGTAGTTTGCCTATTTTAGTTTCGGTTTTAACATGCACAGACAATTTTCTGGTTCATATTACAAAGTAGGAAACAAGTTTCATTGTCAACAAACAGCCACCTCCAACCAGGATGTGACAACATCTTGAAATTAGACTCACTCTTGGTCCAAAATAAGATTAGCAGAAGGAAGCAATTTTCTTGCATTTTTATCATTAAAGTTTTTTTCCCCGTACATTGACAACAAAGTGACCATTTAGACTTATTCTACCCGTCTGGAATTTAGATGATGCTTAAATGGTTATTTTTGCTTACACAAGTTCTTGAGATATTTTCTTTGGTGTTTATGGGCCTGATTATCAAAAGAGCCAAGCAGATTTTTAAAATCTGGTCACCACATTTTACTTGGAGGCAGAAGGAAATTGATTGTGTGACTGAAAACATTTGTGTGTTTTGTTTTTTTTTTTAATTGATACCAAACATTCTTCATCGACTAGGCATTGTAGCTCAAACCTTTGGCATCAAACCACTAACCTCTACCTCTTGAAATAAGGAACTAGCCTGCTGGCTTCTAACTTTATGTCTACAATAAAGTTGTTGACATAAAAAAATAAAGAAGGAAAAGGGTTTGCATGTATTATTCACCTATATGGCATTTATATCCACTGAAGCTCTTCAAATTCTGACACATGCTCTTTGGACAATCAAAATTGGGAATCATGTGCGTGGGTCACAACCAACACCCTTCTGTGAAAATAACCCCGGATACCAAAGTCCCATTGAGTCCTCAGTTAGGACTGTCTGTATCTATTGGTAGCCACAAACACTTCAGAAAATACCAGCCTCAGTGAGTATAGAGCCACTCCCCTTTCCTTCAGCTTTCATGCATGCCTGTGAAGGTATGAACCTCATCAGAGCCCTACATGTTTTTATTTTGCAACACAATGTACTCTCCTTCACCAGAATAGTCATTTCTCATCACAGCTTTGCTCCCCAGTATAGGACGGAAAAAATCTGCTTTAACATCTACAACAAACTTCCCATCCTAG